CAAGAGCTCTTCGGCCAAACCTTCGGCTCCGCCACAGGCCGTGGGCGCGGGCCAAACCTTCAGCAGGCTAGAAACCCGACGGCGCTCCTTCCGCTGCGCCTTCCACTCCTTCCAGGTTAGTCCGCTCTGCTTCTTATTCTTCTGATTATTATTATTATTATTATTAGTAGTAGTAGTAGTAGTAGTAGTAGTATTATTAGTGTTGTTATTATTATTAATAATAATAATATTATTATGATTACCATTATTAATATTATTATTATTAGTATTATTATTATTACTATTACTACTATTGATATGAGTATTGTTATTATTATTATTAATTTTAAGATTATTATGATTATTATTAGTATTATTATTAGTAGTATGATTATGATTATTGCTATTAATTTTATTATTAATAATTTGTTATTCTTATTATTAGTATGATTATTATTATTATCATTTCGATTATTATTATTAGTAGTAGTGTTAGTTGTTTTCGTTTTCTGATGTGTCTTCTTCTTCTTCTTATTATTATTATTATTTTCATTATTCTTTTTCTTCTTATTATTCCTCTTCTTCTTCTTCTTCTTCTTGGGCTGCAGGCGCTGCCCTGCCGCACTCCCGCACGGGCGGGGCGCGCCCGTGGCCTGCAGCACGCCCCTCGCTTGGCGCACCGCGCCCACCACCCCACGGCGCCGTGACCTCCGCCGGAGGCCCGGCACCCGCGCCAGGCGGACCTGGCCGCACCACTGGACCGCGACGGAGTGTAAGGAGTGCGCTCGGCATCGCTCGGACTTGTGCACTTTTCGGGGGTGGACAGAACCCCCAACAGTGACACGTCGATTAGTGAATTGTCCGTTTTCGGTTTTCGAGAGGGCGCCCATGCCGTTATTTTCCAGGCTTGCGTCCGCCCGGTCTGGGGCGCCGGTCGTTTTCACTAAACCACGTTTTACTGAAGGGAGGTCTGTCCATCCCCGAACTTTCCCTTCGGCGAGGACAATCGAGGAGCATCCCTGGTCATTCGGCGAAAAAAAAAGCACGCGCGAAGCCGAAAAAAAAAAACACAGGTAATGGACGTCCGAGCGATGGCGAGTACGGCGCTTCTCTTCCGCACCCTCCGCCACCGGTCGCAACACCGCTGTGCGGCCGCGCCGGCGACGCCGTGGGCGCAAGGCGAGCCGCGCCGGCGACTCCGGCGACTTCTCCTTCGGCACCTTCGCGCACGTGGGCTCCGACCCGCTCTGCGGCTGAGCGGAGCCGTCGCCAGCGACCTCCCCTTTCGGCGAGCTGACCGCCGACGCCCTGGGAGCCGCCTCCAGCGAGACCTCCCCTTCGGCGCGGCCCCGCCGCAGCTCACCGCCCGAGGGGCCCGCTGGCCCCGCCGGCTTCGTGCGAATGGGGGGCGCCCGGCGGCCGCGCGGCGTCTTACCTTTTTTCGGAGCGCAGCCGCGAGCTGTCTCCCCGGCCTGCGGCTCCTGGAGCGCCCCACGGGGGACCCGGAGGGCTGCGCGAGGCCGGTTTGCCCCATCCACCGAGGCGGGCGGTGCGGTCGTCCCACCGCCTCCCCGTGCACCGCCAGCCGAACTGCCTCCAGAAGGAGGAGGAGGAGGAGGAGGAGGAGGAGGAGGCGGAGGAGGAGGAGGAGGAGGAGGAGCAGGAGCAGGAGGAGCAGGAGGAGGAGCAGGAGGAGGAGGAGGAGGAGGAGAAGGAGGAGGGAGGAGGGATATGGGCAGTAGGAGGAGGAGGAGGAGGAGGAGGAGGAGGAGGAGGAGGAGGAGGAGAGCGAAGAAGGCGTTACCCCAGGTGGAGAAGTTTGCTCCGAAGCGCGGCTTCGGCCTCATTTCTGCGCCCGATGGGGGAAGCCACGTCTTCGCTCACTGGACCCAGATCTCCTCCAACGACGCCTGGCCGCGTCTCCCCGTCGGAGAGACGATCGAGTACACCCCCGCTATTGAGGACGGCAAGATGGTTGCCAAACGGATCACCGCCCCAGGCGGGGGGCCAATCGATACAGTCGAGGAGGTCGTGAAGACTCTGAGAGTCCTGAGTGACTTTTACGTAACGGGCACCGTGCAGTGGTTCACGAGAGCCGGCTATGGGTTCATCCAGCTCGACGCGGAGATCGAGTGGCCGACGAAGTGCCCCGCCGGAGCGCAAATCTACGTGTCTCGGGAAGACCTGGTGATGGCAGAGGGCAGCGTGTGTGGCCTGCAGGAGGGCATGCGCGTGCAGTTCAGAGTCTTCGACCCGCTGGACAAGCCTGTGGCGGCCGCAGAGGTGACCTCCATCGGAGGCGCCCCCATCGTCTGCCAGGCCCTGCCCCCCAAGGGCGCCTTTGCGACCACGCCCAGGGCCAGAAGTGGCGGCACGGGCGACCTGATCGCCTCGACCAGGGGCCTGGGCGAGCGCCTGATCTCGGGGAACAAAACACGGCATGAGCATCAGCTTTCGGGGGCCCGTTCGGCCTCCTCGCGTCGGCACTGGAGGCCCCTGGCGGCGCCTCCAGCGCCGCCCCTGGCTCCGCGCGCCAGGGAGGGGGGCCCAGTGCCGATCCAAGCAGTCCCCGCGGACCTCCAAAAGTTTATGCCTGCGCAGCTGTTTATCCAGTGGCGCTGCTGCGCGATGCCGCCGCCGCGCTCGGGCGGGCGCCCAGGGGGGGGGGGGGGCAGCGGCGGGCGCCATGGGGGGAGGGGTCCGTTGAAGGTTCTCCCCCCCGACCTCGTATTCAACACATGTTCTGCCTGGAAGGCCAGAAACGCGGGGGCATGGTCAGACAAGTGAGCGCACCCCAATTCTTCGCAGGGAGCGCTCCTCCTCCTCCTCCTCCTCCTCCTCCTCCTCCTCCTCCTCCTCTTACGGCAGGCAGGTTGGAGTTACGCTATTACGATGAAAGATCTCTCCAACGCGTTTGGCAGCACCAATTGGACGGCGCTCGACGCCGTCGTCAATGAACATTCAGCCCCCGAGGATCGAGTTCTTTGTCGTCAGAGGTATAGGCTCTCGGTCGTAGAAGTTGACACTACGACGGGCCCGCTACTGATGAAGACAGGATGTGGAGGAGTTATGGGGGACCCCTTCAATGTTCAGGGTTTTGCTGGTGCCTTTGTTAAGCCTGTTCAGGACTGGGCCCACAGCGTCTCCGAGGCTATCCCGACCACTCAGTTACTCACTACCCTTTGGTGTGGAGTTAAGTTGGACATGTCTTACCAGAAGTACGCCGACGACTTGCTTAGAATCATTCCATTATGCGTGGGGGAGGGGATGGAGGATGTTTTCGACACGTTAAACAAGGTTGACGACTTGCTAGATGCTTCTTTAGATACTACGGGATATGTGCAGAACAAACAAAAGCAGGTGACACAATTCTATATCGCTGGTTCTGGTTCGGCTTTATGTAAGAAGTATATACGTTCCCAGGGGATTGAGGGAGGTCGCATCGCGGGTACGGTCTCGGATGTTGCACGTTATCTAGGTCCGATGATTACGCCGCTGCAGTTGGCATCTCCCGAGCTTGAACGTCGAATGAATGCAGCGTCCGCGGGTTTCTACAGCATGGGCGCCTTCTGGTCCATGGAGAGCCCGAAGGCATGGAAGCGAGTGATCTTCATAGGACTAGTTCAGGGTTCACTGCTGTCGGGATTGCAACCCTTCATACTCTCCGACAAGCAGCACACACTCTTGGACAAGCACTTGGCAAGATTAGGCCGCACAGCTATGATGGGCGCAGCATGCACACACGCACTCGAGGACGACGATCATGCTCGATCTTTAGCAACTCGTGAAGTACTTGATTATTGGGGAATTACAGATTGTTTTACTGAGTTATTAGCACGTCGTCTGCACTGGTACCAGAGTTGGGCTCGTCACCAGGACTCACACATCCAGGTACTCGTGGCTCTCTTCGGCGGGGATATGGGGTTCGAGAGCTCTGATAAGTGGCCCTGCGGGGCCGTCGGACTCACGGAATACGCTTCTCCCTGGGCTCAACGTGTGGGAACTGACATAAGAGAAGCAATCAAGTCTTGTCCTGATGCCGAGGAGCTCCTTTCGAGGATAGCGGACTGCCCGTGGCTCTTGCTGGAGGATGAGGAGGACATGAAGGATTTCGCGTCTCTCGATTTTCGCAGAGTTCGTAGTCATCAGGTTAGTTATGAAGTACCTCCTCCAGAATTCTATGCAGGGGACGTTAGCCTGCAATGCATTACCCCGGGGGGGCTGAGTAGGCAGATGGAAGAGGAGGGGACCGTGGAGACTCTTGAGTTGCCCTACACTTGCACTGCCTCGACGACGGCAGAGGATGGGTCCATTGTACCGTGTCCGTGCCGATTCGCTACACGAAAGGGGCTGATGGAACACCTCAGGCATCGCCACCACGTTCGGAACTTGAGCCACGTTCTTGTCACGAATAATCAGTGTCCTGTGTGCTCGAAGGTCTTCCGTAACCAGATTATGGCAGCCCGACACCTTCAGCCCGCTCTGCAGAGAGGCTATTGTGGTGGGTATGGTCCTCGTTCCCTGGTGCCAGTGACTGAACCTCAGAGCTACAGTTGTGGGATGTGCCCGTTTGTTGGACAGAGTGCTGATGATCTCCGTAGCCATGTATTGGTTCATCTTCCTTGGCCAGTGTATCTTACACGTTCTGACGCACTTCACCTTCCTACGCCTCGAAGACATGGCGTCGGCAGCGGCAGCGGCTTCCGACGACGTGGGCATGCCGAACTTCATGAAGCGCTCCCTCGTGGACCCCGCATCGGCCTCGAAGGTCGCGAAGCAGACGGCCGCCCCAGGGGCGCCGCCACCACCAGGAGGAGGAGGAGGTCAGCCTCCCGCCGGTGGAGATCCCCCGCTGCAGGGGGCCAGGATCGACAGGCAGACCATGAACAGACTCATTCGGCTCAGCCTCACCAGCGCCAGACAGATCGCGGCAATCGAGGGATCGTTGTTCGAGAGCTTCCAGACCCCCGAGCAGGAGGAGCAGGACCTGGGCACGGTGGCGGTGAAAGCCAACGGACAGTACGACCAGATGTCCAAGCAGATGAAGGCCGAGCAGCAGGCGGGCGAGAAGGTCGACTGGAAAGCTCGAGGCGCCCCACACGTTTGCTTGTTCGTGGCTGTGCTGCGCTTCGTCATCGACGACACCTCCAAGGACGGCAACCATCCCAACGAGAAGTACTACGCCATTATGAGGGGCTTCTGGGCGGACGTGGTGCTCCAGTCGACGGCGACTCAGATCGGCGAGCTGGTGACACACTTTCGGTACAAGAAAGCTCGCAACGACGCTCCAGAACCCCGCGTCGGAGTCTTGTCGGTCTGCGTTCAGTTGCGAGCCACTCGCATGCCAGCGGTTTGGGAGACTCTCACGGCATACTTTCTTCAGTCGGCCAACATGTCGAGGCTCGCGGGGCCAGCTCCCAAGGGGCCTCTGGAGAGGGATCTCGAGCGGGTCCTCGAGACAGGCAAGGGTCGGGGCAAGGGGAAGTGAGTAGGCTTGCGCCCAATCTGCAGCAGAGTGAGAGGCTTCGAGAGCTGATGGCAAGAGGTTTCAGGCTTGATTCTCAGCAGCAATCGTTTTCCACATACTCTTCTACGTCTCTGCCATCCATTCCTGTTGTGCACCTCCCTCCTCCTCCGCCGCCTCCGCCCCGACCACAAGGGAAGGGTAGACACCGCGAGCGCGAGGCAGCGGTCATGCCGCCTCCCGCCAAAGGCCGAGGCAGCTTCCGTGCCGCTGACAGAGGGAAGGGGAGGGGGTCGTCGTCGTCTGGAGCTGGGAGGCGGGGGGCTGGGAAGTGATGACGATCGGTCCCCTTGGAAGCAGCACCCCCACCCTGGCTGCGCGCCGTCTGGGGGGGGCCGCTGCTCGGGGCAGCGCGGCTTCTGGCCGAGAGGCCAGGGGTCTCTTCATATCTAGTAGCCTGTAGGGGCAATGGCGGTCGAAAACTCGACGCTCAGAGGCAGTTTGTTTTCCTGAGGTGAATCGGACGGTCCTCCTGGAGCATACTACTACTACTACTACTACTCCTCCTCCTCCTCCTCCTCCTCCGCCTCCGCCTCCTCCGCCTCCTCCTCCGCCTCCAGAGGGCCCGACACACACCTGACGCTGCCAGCGCGGTGGCGGCTTCCTCCACGATCGCCTCGACGAGGCCGCGCCCCACGACGGGCGTCCAGAGGACCATCCAGAAGCCGCCCGCGAGGCAGGCGGCGGGCCGGCAGACCGCTGCTGCTGGCGCGGGCGCCCGCGGGCCCCTCGGCCTGGGCAGCGGCGACGAGCTGGAGGATCGCTGCGCAATGTCCGAGCCCGAGCCAACTCAGAGGAGGCGAAGGCACCCATACCGCTACTTACCCCCTGTCCTCGTCTCCCCCGTTTGGGACCTTTTGGGAGGCCCTCGTCGCCACCGCTGGATTCGCCCCGAAATCCTGGTCAGAACGCACCCGAGGAGAGGTCCGGGGAGTAGCGGTATCGGTACCTTTTTGTTTCCCCACCAGCCCTCCACGTCGGTTTTGGAGGTCGCCGCGGAGATCGCGGCGGCCACAAATCGGAGCAATACTTTTGTCGAGCAGTGGCGTGTCCCTGCCCAGACCCCCCCCCGCTCTGCGATGTAGACGGTATATTCGCAATTCACAACATAGCGACAGATGGTGGTCAATGTATGTCCAGCATGGGCAGTTCTGCCTTTTTGGTGAGGGGTCGACTACAGTCGGACCGAGGTGTAAGATCGAGGTTCGGTTCGGGGAGGCTGCCCTAATGTGTTTCGTGCTTGTTGGATGCTCTTGTGCATCCTGGGGGAGGGCGCCCTCGAATGACCTTGGGGCTTGGGGTGCTTTACCCGGCGGAGGGTCTCTTGTTCTTGAAGGATGCTCTTCTGGCCCAGCTCCGAGTGCACGGAGGCCACGCTGTGTCCGAGGGCCCGCGGGAGCGCCGCGGCGCGGCCGCAGCCAAGGGCGGCTGCGTCCAGTGGGCCGCGAGGGCTCTTCCTCCTCCTCCTCCTCCTCCTCCTCCTCCTCCTCCGCCTCTTCCTCCACTTCCTCCTCCTCCCCCTCCTCCTCCTCCTCCTCCTCCTCCTCCTCCTCCTCCTCCTCCTCCTCCCTCCTCCTCCTCCTCCCTCCTCCTCCTCCTCCTCCTCCTCCTCCTCCTCCTCCTCCTCCTCCTCCTCTGCAACCCGAGGAGGCTGCGAGACAGTGGCTGCAGGCAGCAGGCGGCCACGCGCCGCCCGCAGCTGGAGCGGGCGCGGACGCCCGCGGGGCCTCCGACGGGGGGGGCGGCGAGGCGCCGGCGGCACCCGCGGCAGCGGCGGTGCCTGGCGGCAGCGCGGACCTGGAGGAGTTCGGGGGCGGTCAAGACGGGAGGGAGGGAGGGAGGGAGGGAGGGAGGGAGGAGGAGGAGGAGGAGGAGGAGGAGGAGAGTGAGGGTGAGGAGGAGGAGGAGGAAGAACAGGAGGAGGAGGAGGGCGGATATCATGGCGGCAGCCATGATGTCTCCCCAGATCACATGGCACCTCTTCGTATTTCAAGACGTCCCCGGCCTCCCTCCCTTGGCCGCGCACATGCCGCCGGCCACGGTTTGTGCCCCCCCTCTTGAAGGCCCCCTTGTTGGACGCCCCCGAGGAGTCTGCGAGGCAGTGGCTGCAGGAGCAGGCCGCCGTCCTCGACCCCGGCGCGGGGCACGCGCCAGCTGCGACCCCGTGCAAGTATTTCCTCGCGGGCCGGTGCGCAAAGGCGCCGCCGCCGCCGCGGCCGCCGCCGCCGCAGCCGCCGCTGCGCCGCCGCCGTCGGCGTCGTCGTCGGCGTCGGCGTCGGCGTCGGCGAGGGCGTCGTCGGCGTCGTCGTCGGCGTCGGCGTCGGCATCGGCGTCGTCATTGAAGTCGTCGTCGTGGTCGTCGTGGTCGTATTTGTCGTCGTGGTCGCTGTCGGGGTCGGCATCGGCGTCGACGTCGACGTCGTCGTCGTCGTTCGACCAGCTTCGCTCAGGACGAAAACCCAGAAAATATTGAAAGATATTGGGAATCCTGGGATTTGTGTCTATTTGTTTGTGTTTCCCAGGGCCCTTTCAGACAACGGCGTCGACGCCGCCGTCATTGTCGTGAAGAAGGGCAAGCATCATGAGCAGAGTCTCGCAGAGGTCCGCGCGGCCCTCCGAAAGTTGTTCCTTACCAGGGTGGGATTGCTAGATTTACAAGGATGTGCAGGAACAACAATCGAAGAAGAAAGACACACATAAACATAAACCTTTGGCGGTCCGCGCGGATTTCTTGGATTCGCGCCTGGACCCCCCGGCGGCGCCTTCGGCGCCGCCCCTGGCGCGCTCCGCACGCCAGGGAGGAGGTCCAGCGCGAATCCAAGAAATCCGCGCGGAGCGCCAAAAGCTTCTGTTTACGTGGTTCTCCCTTCTGTTTTAAAAAGCTCACGACACCCGCCTCGCACACCCCGTGCACCGTGGCCGCCAGGCCGGAACAGTGCCGGTGCTCCCTGGGCAGCCCGCCCTGGGTAATGATCCCGCCTCACGCCGTCGACGGATGGCGATGGCATGTCGCGGCCGCCAGGCCCTGGGTGTGCCAGTCCTTCGGAGGTGGATAAACCTCCTACCCTGACACGTCGATTAGTGAATGGGCCGTTTTCGGTTCGCGAGAGGGCGTCGCGGCCGGTATTGTTGCGGGTCCAGGTCCGTCGGTTTCGGTCCTGGGTGGTTTCCCTGAAGGGAGGTGTACTAAAGGGAGGTTTGTCCACCGCCGAGTCCTGGGGGTCCCGCCTCGCGCTCTCTGGGTGGGGATCACTCGGAGGAAGACGACGTTGAGTCGGGCACGTCCCTCTACAGGAGGAGTATTCAAAAATAGTCAAAGAAATAGTAGCGGCACAAGTTCTTCTACCTTTTTTTGAAATCATGTTTGAATATTGTTTGAATATTTTTTAATGTTCGTCCAAAATCCGCCTGTGGTGGGATATGCCCGACCTACAGACAATGGTTTATGGTTCTATGTATCCAGCTGCCTGCTGCAAGTCCCGCCTCCGTGCCAGTCTTCTGGGTGCCGACTGTTCAGGGGGGGGCACGGGAGGCCGTCACGTGTAACACCTCGCATCCGATGATTATGATGATCGATGTCTATGACAATGAGGAGGAGGAGGATGATGCCGATGATGACGATGATGATGATGATGATGATGATGATGATGATGATGATGATGATGGTGATGATGGTGATGATGATGGTGATGATGATGACGAGGACGATTACGATGATGATGATGATGAGGAGGAGGAGGAGTATGGTTATGCGTATGAGGATGTTGATGAGGATGTTGATGATGATGCTGCTGATGATCATGATCATGATCATGATCATGATCACGATCATGATGATGATGATGATGATGATGATGATGATGATGATGAAACTGATGATGATGATGATGATGATGATGATGATGATGATGATGATGATGATGATGATGATGGTGGTGGTGGTGGTGGTGGTGGTGGTGGTGGTGGTGGTGGTGATGATGATGATGATGATGAAGCTCGTTTGGGCAGTCTTGGGGCTGCCTTAGCCTCCTGCGCGGCAGTCTTGGGGGTCCCTTGTGGCCGCCTTGGGGGCCGCTTACGCCGGCTTGTTGTTCTATTGGGCCGTCTTGGCGCCCTTCTTGGCTGTATGGTGGGTGTCTTGGCGCCGTCTTGGGCCGTCGAAGGGTCTTCTAAGACCGTCTTGGTCCCACCAGAAGCCCTCTTGGGCCGTCTTGGGGCCGTCTTGAATGCCTCCTGGGACATCGTGTGGTTTTCTTGGGCCGTCTTAAGCTCACGGCAGCCCGAAACGGTGAGAATGCGAAAACCATTAAACACCCAATTGAAATCAATGATGTTGGCTTCTTTGTACCCTGTTGGAGGTTCTCTTGTGGCCCTTCTGGGCTTTCTTGAAGCAATATTCGGCCGCCTTGGTGTCATCCATCCTGGGCCTTTGGAGGCAGATTGATCCATCTTGGTGTCCTTGGTTGCCTGCACGGGCCGTCTTGGACGCTCGGGACGCATATACATAGTTTTGAACCAGGGATCGTGGCTTGGGAGGCCCTGGAGCGCTTGTGAGCATCGCCTGGGAATGCGGGAAGTGCACGACCCTCGAGCGGGTGCGCGTGGGATGAGGGGTCTAGCAGGTAGCAGCTATGCAGGAAGTGCGCAATCCTCGAGCGGGCGCGCATGCAATGAGGAGTCAGGCATTAGCTGCAATGCGGAGAGTTCACCATCCTCGAGCGGGCACGCGTGGAAGGGGGGTTCAGGGATTAGTTGCCATGCGTGAAATACATCATCCTCGAGCGGGCATGCGTGGAAGCGGGGTTCAGGCATGCGAGAAGTGCACCATCCTCGAGCGGGCACGCGCGGAAGCGGGACTCATGCATTAGTTCTTTGGACACCTGCTGGAGCGGATGTACACCTGCTGGATGTTCACTTGCTGGATGTTCACCTTCCTCGAGCGGGTACAAGGAAGGTGGCCTCGGTGAGTAGGGGGGATGCACCAAGAGTCTGCCAGTAGATGGGGTGGCGGTCCCTTAGTAGATCACAAGAACCCTACAAGACCAGACAGAGCTTGGCATTATTCCACGCCGCAACGTGCGAGGGGGGACGGTGGCGGATTCTTATGGTGTTGTTATGGTGCTGATTATTCTTGTATGCTGGCAGCGCCAACAAGGGGATGAGGCGAGGGGGCTGGGCTTCTAAGATAGCAGAGGGGCTTCTTAGAAGGCAGGGGCCTTCTTTGGATGCCCCGGAGGCCTCTGGAAGGCTTACTGGAAGCTGGACTGGCCTCGAAGAATCAGGCGATCGCAAACATGGATCAAGGTAGCGTGGATTAGCGACGAGTCCCGTTTCCAGGGGGAGTCGCAGATTTCCGCTGCCGAGCGAGGCAACACCGGCCGCATTTGGGGGAGGGCACCTCCCCCAGTCCATGGATTTGGCGACCGCGCGCCAAATATGTTTGCGCGCCCCCGAACGAAGGCCCCTGCTTTCTAAGACGCCCCTTGGCTTCTTCGCCAAATCCATGGATCGCTAATCCATGTTTGCGCGCCCCCGAAAGAAGGCCCCATGCCTTCTAAGACGCCCTCTTGGCTTCCTGGAAGGCCCCCCCCCCTCGCGCCGTCCCCCCAGTGGGGCGCCGCCGGCGGAGCGACGCCGAAGAATGGGGTCTTCTTCGCCGGCACTGGCGCGTAAGCTGCCCGCGTGCGGGCCCGCTTCTCGCCGTCGCTCGGCACACATGGGAGGGGACCCTTCGGATGCAACTCCTGGGAGGTCAAGTTCTGGTTTTGCCCTGGTCCGAAGTCTGGCTTAATGTGTCTTAATCCCGCTAAATCCGGCTGAACCCGGCTTGATCCTGCTTGGTCCGAGACCCACTCCGGCGCAACAGCTCCGAAATGGTGCTTAATCCTCCGTAATCTTTCCGACGAAAACCTCCCAGTAGTTGCTTCCTACCTAAGGACCTCTCAAGCTCTCGTCGGGCCTGCGCAGTGCCCATCAGAGCAAGAGCGCCGCTGAGCACAGGAGGGCGTGCAGGCAGCTGCGGGGCTCGGCCATGCAGAAGCAAGGCGCGGGCGACGCTGCAAAGCCCTGGGAGAGCAGAGCACTGACAGCGCGAGCACCAAGTCTGCAAGTGGCCGGGGAGAGCCCAATCCTTGGCATCGCTCGGACGTGTGCATTTTTTCCCTCGGTGGGGACCATCGAGGAGCATCCTGGATCATTTGGCGCAAAAGCCGCGCACGAAACCTACAAAAAGCACAGGGAATGGACGTCCGCGCGATGGCGAGAATCTGCTTCCGCCGCCCGCGCGAGGGCGACGCGTGCCGCTTCCAGCACGCCGCGCCCACCGCGGCCGTGGCCGCGTCGGACGTGCTCAGCGCGGCGCTGGCCGCCGCGGGCGCCGCCGCGGACGGCGCGGGGCTCGGCGCGCGCGGCCCCCGGTGGAGGAGGAGCGAGGAGGAGGAGGAGGAGGAGGAGGAGGAGGAGGAGGAGGAGGAGGAGGAGGAGGAGGGAGAGGAGGAGGAGGACGAGGAGGAGGAGGAGGAGGAGGCGGAGGAAGAGGAGGAGGAGGAGGCGGAGGCGGAGGCGGAGGCGGAGGCGGAGGCGGAGGAGGCGGAGGAGGTCGAGGAGGAGGAGGAGGAGGAGAGTCGAAGTAGAAACAATTGGACAAGCAGAATCTCGGAGCTCCCCGGATTTCTCGGATCGGCGCTATCCGCCGACGCAGGATCCTAGCCGACCTGGGACGCCGCCGAAGACCCCCTATTGTGTCATGCGCGAGCGGAAGAGGGGAGCTGCGCACAGGAGGAGGAGGAGGAGGAGGAGGCGGCGGCGGGCACCATCGATACCACCCCCTCCGCATATACATTGGCACGTGTGAAGAATCCGCTGGTCGCCTGTTCAACATCCCCCCTCGCAACACGGGGGAACACACGTACCGAATGCCACACGGGCCAAACTCATGGTCGACACAACCCCCTCCGCGCACACGAGTGCACGTGTCACAAAGCCGCCGCCGACATGC